TAAGAACTCTCTTTTTTTTGACAAATTTTATGCATTCGATATTTTTTCTTGTGTTCCTAAACAAAATGAAGACCATCATTATTTATAGTTGAAGATATCTTCCTAAGAATAAATAGGATGACAATGGGGTGGTAAATAGTAAAAATAAATAACCTAGAGGTTACATAGGTTACAAAAAATAATGAAGAATAAAGAATAAAGAATAAAGAGTGAGATAATGTGGCACAAAGCTACAAATGGCTTGTCATTAGATGCTACACAAGAATTTGTAACATATTCACTTACTCCAAATGGAGTAATGAAATTTAGTAATGAAGCAATTATGAGGCTGCAAACAACTGTAAATTTCACCTTACTTTTGTAACATATATGAGACGTCAACCAACAGATTACTTACAACAAGGGCCACACTATAAAATATTAATATTAAAATATTAATATTAAAATACTAACATATAAAATATTAATATTAAAATACTGACTTACAACTCCACCACTCATTTTAATATTTGTCAAGCGAGTATATCATATGATGGAAGATTACTATGCATAATGAAAGTGTGCTCTGCATTGAAAGACTACTATACACAATGAAAGTGTGCTCTGCATTGAACCTTTATTTAGTGAAACAATAACTTTTAGTACTCTAGAGGCATAGTAGTCTCATACTTGAACTATGGCTGCTTAAGGAAAATAAAATATCACTGCTCACACATTATAATCAAAATATTGGCATGAGCTTTAAAGACATCATGCTATGGCCTTGTGCTATCCCTGTTTCACGAGTGCTTTTGAATTTAAACCTAATTCTCCTCGGAAAAAACCTACTTCCACACTCACAAAGGTGAAATCTGTCGAGAGTGTTCCTGTAAGTTTAACACTTCAGCCATACGGTCTACAAATATTCATTAAGATTTTTATCAACTCAACCTTCACAAATTACTAGAGAAAACAATGCACTCACATCATAGGGAGAGAATGAAATAATAGTGCATTTTTCACAATTATTACGGTTTTGAGCTCTACCAATGGAAGCGGTGCTATCACAATGAATTAAAATAAGAGGAATTGATTTTTCATAATAAGGTATATGAAACAACAAATCTCTTAATCTATTCGCTTCCTCACTAGCTGAAGCTAAAACAGTTAGTTCAGCCTCCAAGGTATAGTGAGCAATTAGTTTACTTTTTTGATCTCCAACAAATAACACCAACACCCAAAATAAGGATATAACCTGCTGTAGAACATGGAGCACCTGATAAAGTGTACCAATCTGCATCAGAAAAGCCTTCAAGTACAATATGATATTTTTTATAGAACAAACCACAATATTTTGTTCTAAATAAATATTTCATAACTCTTGTTATAGCATGTCAATGTTCATTACCTGACTTGCTTGTCAACCTACCAAGTACTCCTACGGCATATGAAATATCAAGCCTACTGCAATCAATCACATATCTCAAATTTTTCGATTATGCTAGCGTATTCCTTTTTATTCATTACATTTTTCACTTTCACTAAGGAATAAGTGAACACTTGAATCAAAAGGAGTTACAAAATGCTTGGAATCATGAAATTTATATTTTTCAAAAATTTCTCAACAGAATGTAACTGGTCAAGAAAAATTTCCTCACATGTTCTTGTTATTTTATTCAAAAGAATAAAATTTTCCTCACCATGATCTTTCATATCAAAATGACTTTTAAAAATATATTTATCTTCATCAATAACTTTCATGTTAGAGTAAAAGATCAATAAATCATCAACATATAGGCAAATGATCACATGTGAATTATTTCAAAACTTATGTTATATGCACTTATCACATTCATTTGTTTTAAAACCATTTTCAATCATGCAAGAATAAAAAATTTCTTAGCATTGCTTAGGTGCCTGTTTCAAGCCATATAGGAATTTAGTAAGTTTATACACTTTACTTTCTTGGCATGCTTCAACAAAAGACTCGAGTTGTTTCATATAAATTTTCTCATTTAGGTATCCATTTAAAAAAAATAGTTTTTACATCCATTTGATGAATTTGCAAATTAAAAAATTCAGTCGTAGCAATTAAAAGTCTTATGGATGTATTTTTGTCATTGGTGAAAAAGTAAAAAGTAATTCTAGGTCTTGTAGTTGTTTAAAACATTTTCAACTAGTCTAGCCTTATATTTATTAATAGATCCATCCAATTTCAACTTTTTCGTAAGACCCATTTGCAACTAATGTTTTACAACAGGTGGTAAATAATCTAACTTCCATGTTTTATTAGAAATCGATGGTATCATTTCATCATTTATAACCTCTTTCCATAAAATAAAATAATGTGAAGATAATATTTCCTTCAAAGTGAGTGAGTCATATTCAACATTAAACACATAAAAATCAGGACTAAAATATTTTTCTACTCTAGCTTTTTTACTTCTTCTTAACTCAAAATCATTAATTCTATTAATTTTTTTAAAATTAAAAAAACTAGGTAGTGATAAATATTTTGTTCAATTCCTTAACCCACACTATTTTAGAATCAAAAGGGAATTTATTTTCATCGTAGATACCATCATCCGATTCTATTATTGTATTATCTTCAAGATTAAAAAATCTATAGGTTATACTATTTGAAGCATTACCAAGAAAAGCACAAGTAGTAACCTTCTTACCCAACTTTGTAATATTGACATCCATTATCCTTACAAAGGCTAGACAACCCCAAACTCTTAGATATCCCAAACTTGGCTTGTAATTTTTCCACAATTCAAAAGGTTTTTCATCTGTCCAATAGTAGTCCTCTTGACTTATCCCCTCTAGGATACAAAAGCCTAACCACAAAGTGTAACTCAACTAACTCTGGACAAGAATTGAGTTCAAAGCTCCACAAAAAGAACACCTTCTTTCAACTAATAAAAACTCTCTTTTTTGATAAATTTTATGCACTATATATTTTTTGTTGTGTTCCTAAACCAATTGAAGACCACCACTATTTATAGTTGAAGATATCTTTCTAGGAATGTATAGGATGATAAAGGGGTGGTAAATAGTGACGATAAATGACCTAGAGGTTACATAGGTTATAAAGAATAATGGAAAATTAAGAGTTAGCTAATGTGATACAAAGCTAGAAACGACTTGTCATTAGATGCTTCACTAGAATTTGTAACATATTCACTTACTCCAAACGGAGTAATGCAATTTAGTAATGAAGCAATTATGAGGCAGCAAACATTTGTCTATTACATCCAACTTCTGTAACATATATGAGAAGTCAACCAACGGCCTACTTACAGCAAGTGCCACACTATAACACCAAAGTTTAAGCTAATTAACATATAAACTATTAATATGAAAATGCTGACCAACAGTGTACATTTGGTGCAATAGCTTCACTTTAATTATTGGATTTGTATTTCTTTAAGTAGGTGTGCCTACTTGTCCTCTTTTTCCATCCTTTATCATTAACATCTAATATATGCCACATATATAAGTTTCTTAATCAAGCAGGACCTCGATAAGCTAACTTAACCACATAGAATTTTCCAAACAAGTAGAACGATAAGCTAAGCTAGTCCGGCATTCATTTTTCTTTTTTCAATTATCACCTTCACTTCTGTACACTTGAACACTTTAGACTTTAGTCTCAACATAGTCTCATTTTCCCAAGCCCATTTAATCTCTTTGATATAACTTAGTCATAAATACGTGATTTGGTCATAAGCCCTTATAACTCATAATCTAAAACTCAATTTGATGAACGATTTGTTTTGCTGGAAATTAGACTCAAATACTTTTAGTTTGATAGGTAGTTTTTTAAATCCTATAAATCATCGCATGATTTCAAAATTTAATAAATGCTTAAAGGTTTGTGTTTTTAAACTAAAATGATAAATATAAGTCACAAGCCATAAAGTAGGATTTCTGACTTGTGACTATTCGCTTTTGGCTTATACATCTAAAGACAAAAGTCAGTCTAAACAGGTTCTAAGGCGTCCTTGAGAGTAATACTTTAGTTTATTACTTCAATCAAACTGTTATATATGTGTTTCTTAATATACTTATCCATTTATATCCTTGTTTTCTCGTTTCACATAAACTCATTTACGTTTGACTAGTTGTATGTTAGCATAGACATACGGGGTATTGCAATAAGTGGCTCCAACATTTATTCGGTATTTATCTAATTGACTCTAGCTATCATTAGATCATATATAAGAATGAGTTTTATTTTTAGGATACTTTAGCACTTCCCTTTCGAGTTGCGTCACATATTTTATATTCACACTTAATAAATCAATGACTTAATCACTTTTGGGTTGTATTGGCAGTATTCATACTTTATACTAACATTTTTCTCACTTATCATATATAGACATTTATTGTTAATTAATCTTGTTTACTTGTTCATCATAAATTCCATGTTAATTATATCTTAGATGGGTAGCAGTAAGTGTTAGGATCAAATTCACGCACACACACTAGATGAATGAAGAACACAAGAACTTTCAAGAAAAAAGAGATGAGAGATCTAGAGAGAGAAAGAGAAAACTCAATATTTTGTGGTAACACCCTGTGAGTAAACTTCCACTGCGGTGAGGTATAATAATATTAATAAATCAGAGTATTTTTGGTTACAGAGAATAAATAGAGAATAGAGAATAAATAGCAAAACCTAAAATAATCAGGCTCCACTACCTAACCGTAAGTAGCTCATTAGGCAGCGATCTTGATATGTGTTGTGACCATTAATATGTAAGTAGGACAAAAAAAAAAAAGATTTTCGATGAAGATAAATTTAGTTAGTTCAAACTATATATACATTGCATTACAAATGAGGGAAAAAAGAACAAAATTTCCTTTTTGTGAGAATGAATAAAAAGAAAGTTAACAATAAATGGGTATTGCTAAAGTTGTATCGATCATAAACAAATAATATGTTGCAGGGTTAATTTTTTTTTTTCATCACTAAAATTACTCAACTAGTGAACAAGCTACAAGTGATATTTTCTCTAAAATTTCTGAACGTGTGTAGTGTGCTCATTCTCTCTTGGAATTGAAGTCAAGCTATCCTTGTAACCTATAACTCTGAAACTTTTAGGAACACCATGAAAACTTAATTCCTTTACCACATTGGAATTAAGGTTATAGGACATCATACTTCCACTTCCACTCTGATAAAGAAACAAATAACCCATCCAAATTGCTAATGGGAAACCAATTTGATGACCCCTAATTGTGTATTTCTTAGTCCAAGACTCATATACATTGTAATCCTTCATTATCCAAATATTTATCAAATCCTTTTCATCAGGAATCACGGGCTCCGAATATGGATGATAAATCAATGCTAAAGAGTCCTGTAATAACATGAGTTTACAACTCGGTCCATACATTAAATAACAAGGTTCTGGAATTTTTAAACTATGGAATATTTCGGTGCTCATTTCAAAACAGAGAATTAAGTATTCATCAATCTCTCCTTCTATGTATTGAGATGCAAACCAATGACAAATTCCCCTATAAAACATTTGCGAACTAGAGGCACAATAAAACGTGCTCAATTGTTGAACCACATCACGATCTAATTTTCTCCAACAATCAACACTCAGATCGTAGATATCAACTATTCTATCCATCTCTTCTGGATAATCATCACGATCTGTCATATATATTTTTGAAATTCTAATAACTTTATAGTCATTCGCGATAGAGTCATATCCAAAACCAACATTTTGGATGGAACGATAGTGATCTTCTTGACAACCAATAAACTGGTCGGGTGGGAGAAGTCTATAATTTCTCGTAGATGGATTAATTAAGATGGTGGTAACAGAGTCCATCATAGCAATCAAACCGTTACAAGGACCAATGAATTGGTCAATGCTATAATTATTATTGGTTTTCAAATGAGTGACATCTAGATCTTGAATAATTGGGTTAAAATAATCATCATCACCAGAAAGAAAAGACAATATAGTTTTATGCATATTTCTTTCATATTCGAAGCAATGCTTGAAAAGAATAAATTCGTCTTTGGAAGTTGTTGTGCGGTTGAGATAAAGATAGACAAAAGTAGAGGATTTAATGAGAAAGTAACAAGTTTTTGAGATGCAATTGAATCGCAGGAGGGATTTCACCGCGAGTCTTAAAAGTATATAAATTACCACATCTTCATTCAACTTCTTCATAATTCCATCAGCCATTTGATTATTTTTATACTCTTATATGCAATTCTTATTTTTCATCTCATTTGAACTGGATCAAAAGGCTTACTTTGTTGAATCCAGATCCATAACAAACTAATAATCTATTTTGCATTTTGTGGTTCTAATTTATAACAATTTATAGTTGCACTTATATATCGACAAGTTATAATACATTTAAAAAAGGACAGAAATATCCTGATTAATATCCTTCATATTAATTTACATATCATATTTACAATACACACCCATATGTAGCATTCATCATGTGTACATGTTATTGCATTCATTTTTGTAAATTTATTTTAGCAAGTATTACGCCTGGATTGTTTTTTGTTGGCAAATATATCACAAATTATAGTAACTTATCGTTGAAACTAAAATGACAAAAATGAATGAATAGATATTGATGTTGAGGAAAAGATATTTCACTCTTTTTAAGAAATTTAATCCCATTGAGGTATGATTTGAACCGATCTAGTATATAATTCTTAATTTGTCTCCTCCAAAATCATCCCAACAACATAATATGGCATAACTCAAACAACTTTATATTAATCGAAAAAGTCCAAAACTCTTCAATTGAATACGTTCTTCAATATTAAACTACTCTATTTTATAGAGAATTAGCTAGGGACTTGAAATATTTTTCTTTGTCTCAACTCTTTTAACTACATTAACCTCAAAATATAAACACAATACAATACTTGTTATTAATTTGTTATCTTTTTCATTTTATTACCACAAAGGAAGAATTGTCACTATTTATAGCTAGGTATAAGATTTCTTCCTCAATTCTTATAGCTAGGTATAAGAATTGCCTTAGATTCATTTCGCACCTTTTTCATTCTATTACCACAAACGATTTATCTATCTATCTATCTATCTATCTATGTGTATGCCTGTCTATGTATGTATGTCTGTCTCTCTGTCTATCTGTCTACCTAATGCAGACCATTTGTTTCCTATCACACATCCATCCACCACATTTAAGATTAGGTATCCCCCTATCCCCGCTTATTCAAACTTCTATCCTTATCAATCAAATTTTCTCCACACTACTGAAATTGTTTTCACTCAGCAGATAACTTGCACAACCAAATTTGTCAACCCGCTAAGCATACTTAAATATAGGTGTACGCCTCATTACGTGTTAACGGGATGTAATTCTTAAACTCTGCAATGTAGAGAACAAACTGCTAAAAAAACTAGCAACACCACATTCTCCCCATTATTCCTCTCTTTTGTGGAGTTCGGTACCTTTTTTAGCATTCTTCCATTACCGTTGCTACACCGTCCCGTTTAATTTATCACTGTATTATGAAACTTGATAAGATGGTCTAAACCTTAGATGAAATGTGGCCAACAAACTAGAGTTTACAGCCTTGTCATTGACATAGGTTCTTCCCTTTTAGTAGCTAATAGATAGATTGTTACTACACTTCTAGCATACACCGCCCACATCATTCGAAGACTTAGTCCCTTTCTACATTAACTTATTTCTTGCTATATCCACTAAATGTATAAAGTGACTAGTAATGCTTCACATGCCTATAATAAATCTATACCCTACTTTTTGGTCCCTATGACCTTCACCAAAACACATTCGCGCCTTGAATTGTGGATGGGTTGTTGGCTGATTCACAGGCACATTCTAACCTATACTTTTTCCTTCCACACAAGTTTACTACTTGTTTGCCTAATGCTTCCGTTTCTTACAGATCCAGGGGAAAATCCTTGGATCAACCTTAGTACAGTATTCTTATATTAAACTCTTCTACTCTAATTCATAACTAGTATAAATTAACTTATCTGGTGCCTATGTTTTTAGTTTGGTGTCCTTCAACAGAGAGATATACCAAGTGTATAGAAGGAAAGAAGCTCTTTGTACAGTTGGTAGTGAAAAATTAGATGTGGAGATTAAATTGTTTATGGAACCACCAGAGTGCATAGTAAGGCATTTCTTAAAGAATTGATATTGGTGAAATATCTTCTTGCCTATCTGCAGTTAAAGGGGTATGTAATCAATTGTCAAATAGTCTTCACGCTAAATACTTGTGCATTTGAGCAAGCAAAGTAATTAGGCTTATGTCTATTAGGCGCACTGATGGAACTTTTGATCACTTCTGAGATGGTTTGTACTAAAGATGTGCATTAATTTTATTTCATTTGATTGACACCGTTAGGAATCTGCTTTTCAGCTGCAGAAAATTTAGTTTTATTGCTTATGTTTTAAGTAAGAATTAGTCAATTAGTTGTTCGTCATGTGTTCCTATTATTTAGGAGTTTTTAGTGATCTGCTAGGTCGTGTGTTATTACTTTATATTTTCTTTCTAGGTTATTATAAATCTAAGCTGAAACATTAATAAAAGAGTTCTTCTGCTTCTATTCCTTTTATCTCTCTCATCTTTTTTGTGCCCATCACAGTCTTTGATTTCCCTTCGTTTTATTTAGGTTAACAGGTTTAAAACCTTCAATTAGTATAAAATAGGATCTTTGTTTTATAAGGACCTATGTGTATACGCGCTAATAAGATTTTGTGAATACCATGAACGGAGAAACAAGTGTTTCTTTAATGGCACCACCAAATTTTGGTGGAGAAAGTTATCGAATCTGGGCTGTTAGAATGCATGTATATCTGGAATTTTTGGATCTCTGGAAGGTTGTAGAATATGAATAGATCATTGCTCCCTTGATAAACAATCAAAATATGACGCAAATTGAAAATCACCAAAAAGGAAAATTAGGAAATTAAAGGCAAAGTCATGTTTATTTGCTGCACTTTTATTCACTGTCTTCACTCATAATGTCTCTGAAGTCGGCAAAAGAGGTATGAAATTATATTAAGACTGAGTATGAAGGGGATAAAAGATTCAAGGGCTGCAAGTGTTGGATTTAGTACGTGAGTTTGAGCTGCAAAGAATGAAGTATTGTGAAACCATAAATGAATACACTGACTGACTTCTTAATATAGCCAATCACGTCAGATTGTTGGGTTTAACTTTTAAAGATTCAAGGATCATTGAGAATATTTTTGTAATGGTACCTGAAAGATTTGAGGCGACCATTAAAACATTAGAAAATACTAAGGAATGTCAAGTATTACACTAACAGAGCTCTTATGTGCCTTTCAAGCACAAGAGAAACGACATGTTATGAGAAAAGAAAAGAGCTGCTGAAGGAGCCTTACATGCCAAGCATTAAGATGATGGACGATATAAGAAAAGAAGAACAAGAAGTACAAACCAACAAATGGAGAAGGTGTAACAGAAAACAACAAAAACAAACCAAGTAGCTTCAAAGGAAACTACCCTCTTTGTAAGCATTGCGGTAAGATTGGACACACACCTTTCAAGTGTTTTAGAGGGCCTGAAGCTAAGTACTATAAGTGCTTTATGTTTGGGCATGAATCAATCATTTGTAAGAACAAAACTCAGTAGCAGGATGCAGATGCTCAAGTTGTAAATGAACAGGAAAAAGATCAACTCTTTATTGCATCATGTTTTGCAAGCAATGTTTACAGCAAGGCTTGGTTGATTGATAGCGGATGCAAAAATCCCATGACTCGTGATTAAGAATGCTTTGAAGAATTGAAGCCTGCTCGAGTTGCAAATGTTCGAATAGGCCATAGTGGTCAAAAGCAGAAGGAATGATAACTATTGCATTTGAGACACAAGCAGGTAGATAAGTGATAATAGATGTGCTTTATGTACTAGACTTTTTCACGATCTAAACCGTCATGATTTTCACCCACACTAATCCTCCGGTGGAAGAACCATACTGCAACCCAACTAAATAGTACTACCGAAAAATAGGATTTTAAAGATGTGAAAAAAGGTTTAAATAATCACTTTAAAGTTTAGTTCCCATAAGCTCAGTAAGTTATCAAAAACAAACATAAACAAGCGAAAATTTAACCCCTAGAACCTGAAAGTCATTGCATCAGAACTTCTAACTAAACGGTCTAAGAATAGGGGATGCAACCCCAAAACATTTAAACATAGAGTAAAGCATCTAAAAGGACTAAGTTTGGATGAGATTGACTAAGATGCTAGATGAATCCATCGTATCTTGAAGGAAATGTCTCACCCATGAACTCGACAAGTCACAAATCTCCTAGTTGAGGTCTCTCAACAGACGCTTGAAGATGCCCTGTACTCAACAAAGAAATAGAAAGTGCAGTATCTGTACACAAACAAAGGTGTATTGGTAGAATGACACGACTATTCCAGTAAGTGAGACATACACAAGTAACTTCAACATAGTAACCCACTCAAAAGAATAACAATTTACCAGTTCATGCCAATATATCAGTTTCATAATATCAATCTCAAATGCAACAACCATTAATGTTCCTCTCATGGAACATACACTCAAATTGTAAGTGTGTCAAAATGTGACACCCAATCCAATAATGTGTCGAAACATGACACCCGATCCAATCAACCATAATCACAAACACAATCAACACCATAATAATTTACACACTTGTATCGTACAATCAGGTAACAAGTTCATTGCATGCTAAGGAATCACAAATAGTCATTTCATTAGATTCATTTCAACTTTCCCTATTCACATACATGCTTCAATATAATGGAGTAGTATATAACACAAACAGAATCTCAAACCATCACCTCCCTTGAAACCAAGCTTTACACTCTTAAAGAACTTAAGCATTCCCTTTCGGAGTCTATCATCTTGTTCTTGGTCTAAAATAAGTAATTATTGCAAAGAATCAATAATAGTTACCTAGTTTACCTAAATTATATATAGATACTAACCCTTGGCCGATCTCATGATCGTAACACCCAACTAGGGCTTTTTCCACCATTAAATTGAAGCCCCCCAAGGATAAATAACAAGGACTCTATGTTCTAAGAATCAATTTTTGACTGCGGGGAGAGAATTAATAAAATACCAAAAATATAGCCCTATGTCTCCCTTTTTGATTTTTTTTGGGACTTTTCCGATTCTTATTCACGACTAGGCCGCCATAG